TTTATTTTTTTTTTTTAGGACCCTACATAACTTCGCCAGACACAGACACAGACACTAATCGTTACTTGATTTTAATCCGTGCGATTAGTTAACCAGGCTAGACCTGAGTTCTCACAAGAAACACCGACAATAATAATTTTTATTTTTTTATTTTTATTTTGAATTTTTATTTTATTTATTTATTTATTTTATTTTTTTTAGGACCCTACATAACTTCACCAGACACAGACACAGACACTAATCGTTACTTGATTTTAATCCGTGCGATTAGTTAACCAGGCTAGACCTGAGTTCTCACAAGATACACCGACCATAATAATAATAATATCATTTATTGAGATGGAAAATAATACAATATTGTAATATATATATCTCAAAAGGGGACAGGAGGTCAGCATGCTGGTTTTCACCGCCCCCAAAATTACAAGTTCCGTAACTCAGAAAACACGGAAATCTATGGAACGCCGTTTTACTTTTTATTACGAAAGTTTACAATGTAACATTATAAACAACAGTTAATTTTATTTCCCGATTTATTATGTTTGTTGTTTTTATGTGAAACATTAAATAAGTTTGTTTAAAAAACATCACTTAATTGAAATGATGTATGAATTATATAGCAATGTGTATAACGAAAGTTTAACAATACAAATCAACAAACGAATACATAAACGAACAGTAATATAACTAACTAGAACTAATTCAACAAACATAAAAATTTATTCATATTAAATGTGGGATTAAAATTATGAACAAACATTTTAATTCAACAATCATATTAATTCAACAATCATATTAATTCAATTATTGAAGTGTTGTACAAATATTCCCAACAATCATTTTAATTCAACAATCATATTAATTCGTGCTGTTAAAATCGGAAAGCATTATTTAAAATGATTGTTGAATTAAAATGTTTCATGAATTAAAATGTTTGTTGATAATTTTAATTCGTATCTGTGATTGTGCGGAAGTTTCAGGAACTATCCTTTAGTGTATTTGGGTACGTGTATACTAGCGACTAATTAAAATTATCAACAAACATTTTAATTCATGTAACATTTTAATTCAACAATCATATTAATTCAACAATCATTTTAAAAGATTCTTTTACTACGTCTAACAATAAAAATTTATTTGTTTGTTGAATTAAAGTGATTGTTGAAAATATTCGGCTTCAATTTTCAAATCGTCGAATTTATATGACTGATGAATTAAAATGTTTGTTGATAATTTTAATTCCACATTTAAAATGAATGAATTTTTACGTTTGTTGGACAAACTCGTTTTATTAATCGAAGTATTTCTTGCAATTCAATTTAATTGTTTGTTATTAATTGTTTGTTGAAATACAGTTTCACATACACTCATTCAATATAACAATATAATTCATTTCACATTTTTATTAAGTAACATTTTTTAAACAATCATATTTAATACGTAAGACAATAACAACAAACGTAAAAAGTAGAGGCATACGTTTGACTGTTATTTAAAATGGCACATTGTAAAATTTTGGAATAAAATTGTACAAATATTTTCAGAGAACATTTTAATTCAACAATCATATGAATTCATACTGTTAAAATCGGCAAGAATTATTTAAAGTGATTGTTGAATTAAAATGTTACATTAATTAAAATGATTGTTGATAATTTTAATTCGTATCTCTGATTGTGCGGAAAGTTTCAGGAACTACAGTTTAGTCTATTTGACTACGTGTATACTAGCGCCTAATTAAAATTATCAACAAACATTTTAATTCATGTATCATCTCTATTAATCAACATTTTTTAATCAATCTCTTAATACGTAAGATAAAAACAACAAACGAAAAATTTAGAGACATAAGATTGACTGTTATTTAAAATGATACATGATAAAATGTTGGTATAAATACTAAAACGGCGTTCCATAGAAATCGCCCAATACGTATTAGCCTTCGAAAAAATAACAGACCTCAAAAATATTGTAGATGCGTACCCCATGAGCCACAATAGAGTAGTAGTTTTCTTCCGCATCCCACAAATAGCAGACGAAATTACAAATAAACTCTCTCACGTAATGATCAACAACAATGTAGTACCAATAAGGAAACTTATTAGCCCTGCGAAACGTCTAATGCTAACCGTACCAGCGTACATCCCCCACGATTGCATACAACACATCCTAGACAAACTCAACATAAAAGCAGTATCCTCGATAACTCATCTGAAAATTAACAGTACCAATCCTCTTATCTCGCACAGCGGACGTCGACAAGTATTCATAATCCCAGACCCAGAGATAATAATTATCTATATATGTATTATACCAGACAGCGTGTTGATTAATTATAATGAAGAACCCTGCCGAATATTCTTAACCGCAGAACAGTGCGAAAATTGCAAGAGACACGGGCATAAAAAAGAGGAAGGTAAAGCACAAAAAACATCTCTCAACAAATCACAGTAAATCTAAATTCCAGAGTAGAAGCTAGTCACATTAGACAATCTGAATTCCATCAAAAACACCACAGCGTATCAGTGACAAACAGTGAAGAGACTCTTACCCTATCAGAAATAGAAACAAAGAAGCGTCCCCTAACGACCACATCTGCGGATACATCTCCCGAAATAATTGAGCAAAGTAGCCAAAAATTAAATTTTAAACGTCCTGAAAACACGAAAGGTCCTTAACAGTGGTACGATGGATGCTGAAAATATTTCCGACCATCGATTGGTGCATTGTACAATTGATCTTGATGTCGAAAAACCAACAAATAGGAAACTCATTATGAGAGATTTTAGAAACTTTATTCCTGAAGAATTTGAATATGACGCTGCTCGCATCTGCTGGAATCATGTATATAGGTAACTGCAATGTATTACTGTAAGTTAGGCAACACTGTTAGCAGGAGAGTAGTTTTAGAATAGTCAAGATGGCCGATGTCAACGAAGTCATTGTATCTTTGTGTTAACAAATATATCAGTAAAATATTATAAAGTCTGTATATTTCTAGGCATTAACGGCTACCGTACACAGCATATATTTTGGCGACGAAAACGGAAACGAACTCATTGAAAAAGTAAAGGAAATGTGCAATTGAGTGGCGTCTGGCATAATGCACGTGAGTCATGAAAGTCTATTTTAACGTATAAAGTATAAAGTCAAGTCAAAAGTCAAAATTATTATTAACAAAATGGCACTAATGGGTAGTATTGAACCTTTTAATGCTAAAGTCGGTGACATCACATCGTGGATTGAACGGTTAGAGCAACTGTTTACATGTAATGGAGTCAATGTAGCAAAGAAAGTTTCATTTTGAATCACCTTTATTGGGGGAGAAGGTTACAACATTCTAAAGGATCTGGTCGCACCTGATTTACCGAGTGCAAAGGAATATTCTGAGTTAGTGGAAGTGTTAAAAGACCACTACTGTACGAAACGGTTGGTTATATCAGAACGGTTCAAATTTAATACAGCGGTGCAGGAGAGCAATGAATCGATTACATCGTGTTGTACTAAAATCTTTAAACTAAATAATTCATTTATGTTTGATCTAAGGTAGTAGTTTGTTGCTATATAAATAATTTTAGAGTTTGTCATTAGAAACTGATACAATAAAAAACGTTGTTCATATTGATGTTTAATAGCAGTTCTTATTCAATTTAATACCATCAACATGGTAGCAGAGCGTGGTTCTTTCTAAATATTCGTTGGTACGTCATCTTGGTTGCTAGCGTGGAATAGATAGCGCAGTGGATCGATAAAATCGGAATCAATTTTTTTTTGACAAGAGACGACACGAAAAATGGAAATTCAAGGAATAGAAAAACTACGGGGTATTGATAATTGGAGTATTTGGAAATTTGCTATAAGAAATTTATTACGAGGAAAAGTGGACGCGTATGAAGTTTGCATTGGGGAAATACTGAAGCCAGAGCAATTAGCTATTGAAGATAAGGACTTTAATCAGGCAGAATACGATGCAAAATTCAAGGCTTGGGACAGGGGAGATCGCGCAGCAAATCAGATAATTATTAAATCTCTAGAATCAAAGGTTATGGCGTTGTTGGTTTCATGTGAAACGGCACGGGAAATTTGGCTCAAATTGCATTCTATTTTTGAGCAACAAACTAACAAGCTGCGCATACTGTTCAAACTGAATTTTTCAATTTTAGTAAAAATCCTGTTGAAAATATGGTGACTCACATTGCTCGATATGAGGAGCTGGTTCTGCGCATGCAGCAGCTGAATGTGAAACCGGACGAGTCTTCACTCGTAGTAAAGATGCTCGATTCTCTCTCAGATGATTACGAGGGCCTTCAACAAGCTTGGTGGGCGAGATCTGAACAACAGCAAACATTTGTGAATCTGGTTGAAGTGTTGACATCGGAAGAAAAACGTCGGCAGCAGAAAACAGGAAGACAGGAGGAGTTAGTCGCACTTTTTTCTAGTAAGGCCTACATAAAAAAGAAATATGCCAATAATGGTGGCAATAATTTTAATAAAATTAAATGCTACCGGTGCGGACGTGTAGGGCACATCCGGAAAAATTGCAAAAAGGGAAAAGAAGACAGTGAAGAAAAATCGAAAGACGAGGCGAGGCGTTCGTATGTGAGGCTCTCAGCGCGGAAGATGGCGATGTTTGGATTGTTGATTCCGGAGCTACAGATCACATAACTCGTCATCGTGAGTGGTTTTTGTCTTATGAGCAGTTTGCAGTTCCCTTGAAAATTTATGTCGGCGATAAATCAACAATGGACGCTCTCGGAAAAGGAAGTATAAAATTTCAGGCTTATGTCGACAGAAAGAAAATAGAATGTCACATGGAAAATGTTCTTTTTGTGCCAGGGGCACGAAGAAATCTTTTTTCGGTCACGGCTGCGTTGGACAAGGGCATGAAGTTCAGATCTTCCAGCGAAAGATGTGAATTCACTCGGGATGGAGTTGTAAAAGCATACGGAGTTCGAATCGGTCAATTATTCAGGATGGTGATCCAAATAACATTTCCAAAAGATTATGTAAATGAGGCCAATCTAACGACGAAAATTACACTTCAAAATTGGCATGAAAAATTCGGACATCAGAACAAACAACATGTCAAGAAAATCTTGAAAAACCAGAAAATCGACTTCATCGAGGACGAAACGTTTTGCGGAGCTTGCGTGGAAGGAAAACAACACCGGAGTACTTTTGAATCACGAAATCAGCGTGCTACGACGACTGGAACAATTCTACATGTTGATTTGTGCGGACCAATGGAATGCACTTCGTTGGGTGGCGCTAAATATTTTGCGTGTTTTACTTGTGATTATTCAAGAATGCGATTTGTTTATTTCCTCAAGGAAAAATCAGAAACTGCTGGAAAAATTGTAGAGGTGTTACAAATCATAAAAACTCAACTTGGTAGATCGATGAAAACCCTGCAGTGTGATGGAGGAAAAGAATTCGACAACAGCGAGGTTCGAAAAATATTGAAGTTGGACGGGGTGAATTTGGCGGTGTCAAATCCTTATACGCATGAACAAAATGGATGCGCTGAACGAACAAACAGAACAGTGGTTGATTTGGCTCGAACAATGCTTTTGGCTAAAAAATTGCCAAAAATATTTGTGGGCGGAAGCGGTCAATACTGCTGTTTACATTTTGAATCGCAGTGGACCAAGTGGAGTTGAAAACAAATCTCCTTACGAACTTTTCACGGGGAAGAAGGTGAATTTAAATCGTTTCTATGTTTTTGGCACAGATTGTTTCGTGCACGTACCGAAAGAAAAGAGAAATAAATGGGACCCAAAAGGCAAACGAGGAATTTTTGTCGGATATTCTGACAATATTGACGGTTTTCGTATTTGGTATAAATCGAAAAATCGCATCGTTCGCAGTAAATGCGTTGTTTTTGAACCAGAACAGTCTGAAAAATTATTGGCATTATTTCCGGAGAAGACAAGAAGCGCAGATAGTCAAGGTCCCGAAACATTTCCAGGAGAAGATTTCATCGATCAAGGGAATTTGCAAGATCATGAAGAAGATTTTGTCGATCAAGAGACGAGCACACCAACTCAAGAAAAGGAATTGGAGGGTAAAGCATCGGAAGAAATCTTGGAAAAACGACATCTCAGAAATCGGAACGATCTCAAAGCACCAAACAGATTGTTATATGCAATGATTTCGGAAGTTGTTGAACCAAAAAGTTATAACGAGGCCATAAAATCGGCAGAAAAGCAGAATTGGGTTACCGCCATGAACGAAGAAATGGCATCATTGAAAGAAAATTCGACGTGGAAAATTGTTGAACTGCCGGAAAAGCGAAAAACTATTTCTAATCGCTGAGTATATCGTGTGAAACGGGATTCTTACGGGAATGTTTCGCGGTTTAAGGCACGTTTAGTTGTCAGAGGATTTAGTCAGCGAGAAGGTATTGATTATAATGAGACATTTAGTCCTGTGGCACTACTTGATTCAATTCGGATAGTTTTGAGTATTGCAGCGAAAGAAAAATTGAAGATTGCTCAATTTGACGTCAAGACTGCATTTTTATATGGAAAAATTGATGAAGAAATTTACATGGATCAACCTGAAGGTTATGAAGATGGAAGTAAGCGTGTTTGTAAATTGCAGAGGAGTCTTTATGGTTTAAAACAATCCCCAAGATGCTGGAACGAACGGTTCAAGGAGGTTTTAATTTCATTTGGTTTACAGGAGAGTACAGCTGACTCATGTTTATTTTACCGTATTTCCAAAAATGAAAAACTGATAGTCGTTATTTATGTGGACGATGGATTGGTTGTTGCCACAACAAAAGAATCTATTAATAAATTCATTGGAAAACTCGAAGAAGAATTCAAAATGACAGCGGAGCCAGTCGGATGTTTTCTCAATATTCAAATTAATCAACATAACGATGGAACAATTTTCATTAATCAAAAACGGTATGTTGATGACATACCTAATTGAAAAATTTAAAATGACAGAAGCAAATTCAGTTAGTACGCCAATTGAAAGATGTCAATTAACAGGGGAAGAAATGAAATTTGAATTGACAAAAGCCCCTTATCGAGAAGCAGTAGGGTGCTTAATGTATTTAGCAGTATCTACTCGTCCTGATATCACGTTTGTTGTAAATTATGTTTCACAGTTTCTGGAAGAACCAAGGGAACAGCACTGGACAATGGTAAAAAGGATCATTAAATACTTGAAGGGCACAGCTGAAATGGGAATTTATTACAAAGAAGTTGACACTCAAGTTAACGAATTAGAGTCATACAGCGACACAGATTTTGCAAGTGACCCTCATACAAGACGGTCTGTCAGCGGTCTGGTTTTTAAATTTTGTGGAGGTGCTATCGTCTGGGCAAGCAGGAAGCAGAAAAGTGTTTCCTTATCTACCACAGAGGCGGAATATGTGGCTGCCAGCGAAGCAGCTAAAGACATTGTATGGTTAAATCGTCTTTTTGGGGAAATTGCACCATTAGAAAAAGTACCAACGCTTCGTGTAGATAGCATAAGCGCGATAAAACTCGCTCGAAACCCAAGTTTCCACAAGAGATCGAAACATATTGATGTGCGGGCGCATTTTGTACGGGAACGAGTTCAAAATAAGGAGATGAACATAGTGCATGTTGCAAGTGAAGATCAAGTTGCGGATATTTTAACTAAGCTAATTCCAAAAATTCAATTTCAACATCTTAGAGAAAAATTGGGGATGTTTTCATTGTAACATAAATGAAAGTTTAAAGTTTGAGGGGAAGTGTTGTACTAAAATCTTTAAACTAAATAATTCATTTATGTTTGATCTAAGGTAGTAGTTTGTTGCTATATAAATAATTTTAGAGTTTGTCATTAGAAACTGATACAATAAAAAACGTTGTTCATATTGATGTTTAATAGCAGTTCTTATTCAATTTAATACCATCAACACATCGTTTACAGCTCGCTTGAAGAAGTTATCCAAAACGTGTGAATTTGGAACATTTTTAGATGATGCGATGCGCGACAGGTTTGTGTGTGGAATTAAAGCTGACAATATTAAACATAAGTTACTCACCGAAAGTAAGTTGGATTTTAAGGGTGCGTATAAAATAGCAATTAGCATGGAGCTCGCGGAAGGTCAAGTTAAAGTCATGGGTAGTGAGTCAAGTCATGTCAATAAAATTTACCAAAAGTCACATAATTATCCAAAAAAAGCTAATCACAGTCAAAACACCTCCCGTAGTCAAGGTTCGAGCAAGTCACGTCCGGATAAAGGAAGTCAAACAAAATGCAAAAGATGTTGCAGAATGCATTTTGATGTGAACAAATGTCCAGCCATAAATTGGAAATGTTTTTCATGTAATCAAATGGGACACACAGGGAAGTCGCAAATGTGTAAGAACAATAGAGTTAATGAGGTGGATGAAGACGAAGAGGATGTCGGATGCGGGTCGCAGTCTGATGAGGATTTCGAGTTAGGGTTGTTAACCGAAGAGTGCTCAATTAGGACACTTAAAGTAAATCAAACAGGAATATTAAAGGTAAAAGTATGCATTGATGAACAAAGTGTGGAAATGGAAGTGGATTCTGGAGCAGTCAGGTCTGTAATGCATGAGCTAGATTGGAAGCAACTTTTCAATAATTTAGCATTAGCACCTGTAAATTTTAAATTAAGAGTATTAACTGGTGAGAAGGCTAAGATATTAGGCCAAGTTTATGTGCACGTCAAGTACTTAGGGAAAGTATATTATTTACCATTGGTCATATTAAGGTCAGATATAAAATTTATACCACTTTTAGGGCGAAATTGGTTAGATATTTTAAATAATAAGTGGCGCGTGTCAATGTTGGGTAGCCATATAGTTTCAGTAGGGAATCAATTACCTCAGTTAGGTAGTGTAAGTATTTCTGAATCTAATAACGTCAAATTGAAGATGATTACGTCTTTAAAGCAGAAGTATAATAGTCTTTTTCAAGAAGAGCCTAATTCTTTCATAAAAAATTTCAAAGCTGAATTTAAAATTAAAGAAAATTATCAACCTATTTTCCATAGAGCTTATGAAATGCCATTTGCATTGAAACCTCAGGTCGAGGAGGAATTATCACGTATGGTTAACTCTGGAGTCTTGTCTAAAGTTTCACACAGCAATTGGGCAAGTCCAATTGTTGTTGTACCTAAAAAGAATGCTTCTGAGATTAGAATTTGTGTTGATTTTAAGAAAACATTAAATCTAGCGATTGACAGTGACCACTGTTTTCTGCCTTTACCTAGTGATATATTTGCAACCTTGAGCGGCAGTGAATTTTATTGTGTTATAGATTTAAAAGGCGCTTATCAACAATTGCAAATAAGTGAGTCATCAAAAGAACTTTTTACAATAAATACTCATATTGGGTTATTCAGATTTAATAGATTAACTTATGGAGTTAGTAGTGCTCCTGGAATTTTTCAGTGTATAATGGATGCAATATTATCAGGTTTACCAAAGACTAAATGTTATCTGGATGATATTTTGGTACATGGTTCCAGTTTGAACGAATGCTATCAAAATGTTGAAAATGTGTTAAATAGATTGAAGGGGTATAATGTTAAAGTTAACGAAAGTAAATGTCAATTATTTGAGACATCTGTAGAATTTCTAGGGCATAAACTAGACAGATTAGGAGTGCACCCCACTAATGAAAAGATAGAGTGTATTCAAAAGGCACCTTCACCACAAAATATGACGCAATTAAAAAGTTATTTAGGATTGTTAAATTTTTATGGAAAATTTATACCAATGCTTTCGTCTAAACTTAAACCACTGTATGATCTTTGTAGGGATAATCAAGAATTTATTTGGTCAACTAAATGCGAACAGTGCTTTCAAGAAAGTAAAAATCTATTAATCGCTAATAATGTTTTAACTCATTACGATCCTACAGAGCCAATATACATAACTTGTGATGCTAGTGGATATGGTGTAGGAGCAGTTCTTAGTCACAAAATTAATAATATTGATAAACCAGTTTTATTTGCCTCAAGTACGTTATCAGAGAATGAAAAGAAATATTCCAATTTAGAGAGAGAAAGTTTAGCTTTAATTTTTGCATTAAAAAAATTTCATAAGTACATTTATGGTAGACGTTTTACATTAGTCACAGATCATCAACCACTTCAGTATATTTTTGGAAAAAATAAAAGTATACCTGTTACTGCAGCTGCGAGAATTACTCGTTGGGCTATTACATTATCTGCATATAATTATGACATACAGTATAAAAAAGGTAGTCATATTTCAAACGCTGATGGGTTATCGAGATTACCGTTGAATACTCGAACAGAGATCTCAGATGCAATATTTTCTTTTAGCTTGTCATATGATCTTCCAATAACTTTTGAAAATATAGCCATAGCTACAAAAAAAGATATAAACTTATCCAAAATTGTAGATTTTACTTTATCGGGATGGCCAAACACATTGAAAGATGAAAATCTTAAATCTTACTTTAAGAGAAAATTAGAATTTTCTGTAGAAAATGGATGTTTATTGGTAGGAAACAAGGTCGTTATTCCAAAATCGCTACAAAAAGAGATACTTCAATTATTTCATGAACAACATATTGGAATTGTACGAACAAAAATGCTTATTCGATCATACTGTTGGTGGCCTGGCATCAATGAGGATGTAGAGCAATTTATAAAATCATGTGACGTATGTCAAGCAACTCAAAATTTTACCAATGACAAATCAGTCCTTTTACCGTGGCCAACAGCACCTAATAATTTTTATAGGGTACATATCGATTTTTTTAAATCAAATAATGCGACATTTTTGATTTTGGTAGATGATAAATCAGGTTGGTGCGAAGTTAAACTTATGGATCGTGGCACAAACATTCATGAAACTATCCTAAAATTAAAACAAATTTTTTCAGTGTTTGGGTTACCAGTTGAACTTGTATCGGACAATGGTCCACCTTTTGGCAATTCATATGACTTTACTTCTTTCTGTCATTCAAACGGAATTAGATTCATTAGAATTCCGCCAAAACACCCTGAAAGTAACGGTCTTGGAGAAAAAGGAGTTCAAACTATAAAGAAAGGGTTGCAAAGGTCATTATTTAAAGGAGGAGAACAGGTAGTTACCATTGCAATGATGTTGAATAAATTAGAAAACTTTTTATTTGTACATAGAAATACACCTAACACCAGCACAGGTTTGTCACCTGCTGAATGTATTTTTAAAATTCGTCCTCGAACAAGGTTTGACTTATTAAAACCATGGTCAAAAAAACAAAAACCTCTTCAACAAGACGTTATAAATAAAATCAGATTATATTCAGAAAATGATATTGTCTATGTCAAAAATAAGTATAACAAACAATGGGAAAAAGGAAAAATTGTACGATGCATGAGTTATAGCACATATCTTGTTCAAATAGATGATAATATCAAATTGTATCACATAAATGATATCAGGAAGTGTCAATCAGTGCGTGAGTTTGATAAAAATGATAGTGTACAAGAACAACCTCCGCTTACAGAAATTAATGACTTTACTAATCTTAGTGTAGAACGTAGTAATGTTCAACTTCCTATTGATCACAATCAAGATGAGCCAAAGGTTGAAGAAGTACCACGTCTCTCTCGTAACATTCAAGAATCGAGTACCAATCCAGTAGTCACTCATAATCCTGTGAGTCATGGTACTCCAGCAACCCAATCAACCACTAGATCTGGAAGAATTGTAAAACCTCCTCAAAAGCTGGATTTGTAACTTTTATTAAAAAAAGGGGAGAAATGCAATGTATTACTGTAAGTTAGGCAACACTGTTAGCGGTAGAGTAGTTTTAGAATAGTCAAGATGGCCGATGTCAACGAGGTCGTTGTGTCTTTGTGTTAACAAATATATCAGTAAAATATTATAAAGTCTGTATATTTCTAGGCATTAACGGCTACCGTACACAAGCAGGTAAATTTTTTATTCAAACGGAAAGGGCATCAATGCTAAGTATATGTTTCTTAAACTTACCCAGAAATTATATCGTTATATTGTTGCATTTAAAAATCAAGTTTTAATTGGTTATGTCAGTTTCATCGCTGTTGTTGTTTGTTAAAAAATCGTATACTGGAACTAAAATTTAATCGCTGGAACTCTGGAATTTTACAAGAAAATTATAACACAGTTACGACGAAAAGGTGACTTCCTGCTGTTTTTTATTAAAGGGCATTATAAAATTGAGCTATAATGTATAATGAACGCTGTGAGTTAAAATTTTGCTTTATAAGTATCCTGGTCTCAGCACCAAAACTATGGCGAGCGGAATCAATGTCCCTAAAACAATGAAATTTGTTGCAATTGTGACAGATGAAATATTGTATAGTTTTAGGGCTCTAAATAAGTGACAAAACCAGATTCCTGCCGATTAAGATATCGGAGTATGTATTTAGAAGAGTTAAAACAAGATGACATGCAGATCCTTGCGGTTTTAAAATTTGTGTGGCGGATGGGATTCAAAAACCACCTCAAACTTTTACCAACAAAGTCAGTGTTCCAGTTAATGTTAACCGGCGATGACACAATTACCTCAAAGATTGTAACGAAGTGTTTTGATAGTAAGCGTATTAAAATTTCTTAATTAGGACGATAATTACGTTTAAACCTCATCTTCCAACAATGCGGGTTAATGACGTAACTAAAACTTTTCCTACAAATCGGAGGAAAATTTGCATAAATTTTGCTTGTATTTGAATATCAGAACACAATCATAATTAACTCCTTAACACTGGAACGAACGTCTTAACTTTTATTCCCATCAAGTTATAAATCAAGCTTAACCGAAATTAATTTTCTTTTTATTCCGTGTCTCATTTTGAAATAAAACTAGATATGCAAATGCACTACATGATGACTTTTTAAAATTCATGACATAATTTATAGACGTAAAGGGTTATCCTTCACAACATAACTTGCTCTACGGCAGCACTATTTTAAAATGTTCATTAACGTTTTTCTAACCGATTCGATATTACAGTGCTTCAGCACATTGTAATTCCCCAACTGCACTTTTTATGTGCAAGATGCATTGAACTGCCAAGCAAGAGAATGAAGCTTACTTTATTTTAACGGGGCACGTAATTTCCTCTTTTGTTTCATTCGATTTATACTGATACATTAATTGTTAACTAGCTCCATGAAATTTGTTCAAATTGTATAATTTGTCTAACCAATTGCGGCTACATTTATGCATTTAAAATTCGCTCACACAGCTCATGGATACTTTTCATTTACATTTTTAAACTAAGGAGAAACTGCGGAAACTTTACGGAATTGACAGCATAATATATAGGACCCACTACCTAAACAATATACAAAATCAACAGGAACATACACTTTGTCTAAGATAAGGATGTCTATCATCTCCCAAGTCATAGAAAACAGGACGATGGGCAAATCAGGAAAAAGTTGTGTAATTAAAGAGTAATTGTCATGTTGTAAAGAAGATCAGAAACTTCTGATTACTTCCGAAGACATTCCAGAAATACCCAAATTTTCCAGTTTCCTTTTTATTTTTTTCTCATGTTATTTGAACATATATAAAAAAAATAAAAACACTTTCACATTGCCACTCTTTGAACTCTACAAGACACCGTTAAGAGATTTTCAATGCAAAGTTTCGTTTCGGAGAAATCATCATCAACTTTATTTGTTATATGGCCCGTAAAATTAGTACATATAGGTACTGTATTGAGTAGCATTTTGTATTACGAATACAAACAGAAGTTGAAAACTGTTGGTTTCAACAGGACGGTGCACCCACCCACAACACCTTAATCGTGCGAGAGTATATATATCGGACATATTTTACATTTTCGAAGAAATTTGTCCGATACGTATTCTCGCACGAATAAAACATTGTTCTTTCGATAACAACGGGATTAAAAAGAACAAGTATCTAATTGAAAACAAAGAATCCGCTCAGTGTTTATCTGCATCAAATTACGGTGAGCAATTTCCAGACGAGAAGCGAAATGTAAACGCATTATATTCATTTTGCTTTAACTACATTCAGTGTACCAAAAATAAACAACAAGTTAAAAAGTAATCGTAAACGATTTACATAAAGCGCATTTCCACTTGCATTCATTTCCCATTTGTAAGATGCAACTTCAGTTAAAATCGTAAAAATCCGGCCACAAATATGAAAGATAGCGTTGCACATGGGCAATCCATTTTTGTCGTGCTACTTCAATGTCAGTTTATGAGAAGAATTTCATTTCAGTGCTTTTCTAAATAAGAAAGTTGAAACTGCGCATGCGCAAACCTAAATTTTGAAACTAATGTTAGATTTTCCTTTGTTCCAAGCGCCTAAATATCAAATTTCACTTAAATGCTTCCATAGATAAAAAAGTTGGCACTGCGCATGCGCAAAACCAAATTTTGAAATTGGCGTTTGATTTTCCTTTATCCCAAGTGCCTATGTATCAAATTTCGTTTAAATTCTTCCATAAATTAAAAAGTTGGCACTGCGCATGCGCAAAACCAAATTTTGAAACTGGCGTTTGATTTTCCTTTATCCCAAGTGCCTATGTATCAAATTTCGTTTAAATTCTTCCATAAATAAAAAAGTTGGCTCTGCGCATGCGCAAAACCAAATTTTGAAATTGGCGTTTGATTTTCCTTTATTCCAAGTGCCTATGTATCAAATTTCATTCAAATGCTTTTATAAGTAAAAAATTTTGCAATTCAGTTTATAAATGGTCGAGATGCGAAAAGGGCACTGTGAATTTTGAATCGATTCGATTCAACTTTTGGCGTTGCGTATTATATGGCTAAAGCTATGCCCATATTGAATTTCATGCAATTCAGTTCATAACTAACTGAGATGTAAAAGTGATCGAACATTTCTAAACAAAGTTATCGTTCACACGGACAGATAGATGGATAGACAGACAGACAAAGGAACAGACGGAGAGACTAACCGGCAGACGACAGATAGCAATGCAAAATTATAAACGATCTCTAGGATCGTTAATAAACGGCAAAAGTGTAAAATTATGGAACATGTAAAAAACGGTTTTTTGTTTTTTTTAGAATAACTTTTTTTGTAAGCGGTACAGAAAAAATTCCTTCCTTGGTACAAGACACGACACCATAACGAACCAAATAGCGAAAAAAGTAGAACAATAGCTCTTAAGATAAAGAACTAGATGCGTCGCAAAACGAGCGGACGGACGGACGGACGGACGGACGGACGGACAAAGTGGCCACAATAGCGCATTTTTTTTTATTTTTGTGGAAATGCGCTAAAAACTTCTCCTGGTGCCAAATAAAGAAAGTTGCCTGGATATTAACAGCAAGTAAACAAACCCCCAACGTTTCGCTATATTCGAAATTTTCCCCAGTCCAAGGTAATTTCAAAACAGTAGCCTTTTAGCCACCTTCGACCCAGCCGACATCTTATAATAGCAATCGAGACAGGATTTGATTTAATTTAACATTTTTATTGGTTCCACTGCATATAACGATGATAATACAAGCTCAGATACTTTCAATTAGTTGTCGATTGAGAACAGAGCAACAATGCATTTTCATTAGAGATATCGACAAGATATCGTAAATTTGCACACCTTATCTTAGAAAATTGTAATCTTTAAGGGAATAGGTTTGCTTGCGTATGGAATAATGTATACTTTGAACCAGATTTAAATGGTTTTCTTTCAACCCAGGTTTGAAGAGAAAAGATGGGAAACAGTAAAACAGCAGTCTTAACAGAAACTCCAGAAAAAGATTCAGACGGTACAAACTTTTAACCTTGATATTAATGATGATAATAAGAGAACTTTACTTACTTTTTTCGAATAGGGGCTACACACGTCAAACTTCTGTCAACTTTGTAACAACTTCAGATAACTTTCTTCTAGACGGAAATATTCAGAAAATGCCGAACTGTGTCCTTCAATCAATCAAATAGGGCAGAAAGCCCTAATAAAAATAGCGTAAAGAAACGTCTAACCGTCGCGAACTGTTTTTCCAGATTAAACTCCAATCATAATTAGCTTTGATAACGCCAGGTTTGATAGAATGCGTCCCCACTTACGCCGAACTAAGGCGCACATTGTTGAATATTTGCATCTCCCGTTATCCCGTTTTACAAACAAGTCTAATTAAATAATAGGCCAATACAAACAATTCTAAGAGGCACTACAGAGATACAAATTCAAGTGAAATAAACCCGTTCTTATTTTAGGTGTTTAGGTGGGTTCAGTTATGAGAACATTGCGCACATAACTATTTTTGATTAACTTTTTGCGTAATCTCTCATTGCTAATACTGCGGCCACGTGTTATTTAAAGGTTCATTCTATACATATTGTTGTTATGGAACCTGTTCCAATTGTTGTTAACGTGAAATGTGGATTGGAATTTGGAATTAGCACAATCTCGCTCATATTAGTTGAATTCGAAGATAATGTGTCAGGATTATTTAATTATTTGTTGTTTGATTTTGTTTAAATAATTGTTATGATTAATTTTTGTTGGTAGTTGTAAATTTAAATTATTAATGTGCGGTATTTGTAAAAGTTTATCTCATGATTTTCTCCGGTTCTTGCGATAATAACGTTATTGCTGCGTAGCCTACTTAGTTTCAAGATAAGCGCGTGTTCTCGCCGAGTTGAGCATATGTTCCTTTTGACAATGTATTAATAAATTAAGGAAGGAGGAAGGAAAGTTGGAAAGGAAAGGGAAAAGATTTTTAATAAACGAATCGGACCTGAATCGTGACTTTTCGGTTAAGCTTATTTCGTACTGTACGTTGAAACGTAACCGTTTGTTTTGATGTTTACTGTACTGCCGTATTTGAGCGTAAAGAAAAAAAGAGAAAAAAATCCCTATCAAGTGAGCCAAATGAAATTGTGCATAA